GGCATCATCTGAGGTCCTCTGAGGGGTTGGCATCATCTCTTCTCAGGTGTTCTGGATCCAGACTGAAGCTTGTGTAAAAGAACACCACTCGATGAACAGGTTCCACTTCAAGGCGTAAGCGTGTCTCGTAGATGGTGCTCTCGCCGAAGTGATGGTGTCAACTACCTCTTGGGGTAGGCCACCAAAAACCTCTGCGTCCCGGCCAGGAGGGTCACCCGTCCCGGGGCCTCTCGCTCACCGCCAGGTTTGACGGGGGCCTGGATGGGTGGGGCGGCCTGCTTATGCCCAGCTCCACAGCACTGCTTGCTCGAGGCTGCTGCAGATGCTCGGCGATGAGCAGGCTGGGACGCTGCAGCCAGCGGACGGGTGGAGGCAGCAGCTGCCCAGCCGGGGGAGCATGTCACGAATCGCCTCAGTCTGCTTCTGTGCAGCCAAGGACAAGCAGGCTGGGGCACTGCGGACGGGTGGAGGCAGCAGCTGCCCGCCGGGGCAGGGTGTGACGAACTGCCTCAGTCTGCTTCTGTGCAGCTGAGAGCTGCTGGGCCAAGCTCTTGACCATGTCGCCGAAGAGGCCGGTCTGGGACACAGGGGCATTAAGGAAATTAACTTTGTCGGCATCCCTCATATCAACCAGACACAGCCAGAGATGGCGCTCCTGGACCACAAGTGTGGACATCACACGACCCAGAGAACTCGCGGTGACCTTCGACGCTCAGAGCGCAAGGTAAGTAGCGGTTCGGAGCTCTTTCAGAACTTCTGGATCTTGACCACCCTCGTGCAGGTCCTTCACCCCGAGAAATCAATCGTCCAACCTCGAGGGCTCGGGACGCGGTGGAGGTTCCCACTCGAGCCCTACCCTCTCAGCAGCCCGGGAAAGCATAGCTGGCATCTCTGGATCCGATTCAGGCCTAGCCAGTGCTGATTTGTTGCTCCAGAAACATTTCTTATTATTATCAATGTTGAAAACAGTTGTGCTGCTTAATATTTCGGTGGAAACAGATTTTTTTCGTCATGCTTTGATGAATTAGAAAGATCAAAAGTACAGCATTTATTTGAAATAATAAAAAAATGTACATAAACGGATTTACTGTCACTTCAGTTTAATGTATTGATAAATAAAACTAATAATTTATTTAAAAAAAAAACATACTGACACTATTGAATAGTGTGTTCTTTGCCTACATCTCAGTGGTTACTTTCCTTGTGACTTTATTCACATAATATGATTCTTACGGTCTAATTTTTTGAGTTTTTGAAGTGATCCTCAAAATAGCTGAATCTCATAATGATACTTTATTTTTTAAAGCGTACATTTCCATTAAATGTGGCACCAAAATGCTTTTATACTGTAGACCAGTTAACATCAGTGTCACTAGAACATTTCATCCCTGATGTCACTGTCAATGACATTCTAGCATTCTTCAATAGATTCACTTGTCTTATCAATAACACATTTTGACTCATTCGAAGCAACTGCCCAGTGGAATAACACTGTGTTTTCAACTCGGCTCTTCTACCAAAAGATAAAGTCGTCATAAAGGGCAAATGGGCTTGTAGGCTTTTTGTTCTATTTGTTTTCCATTTGTAAGTTCCCTCTACCAGCAGAGATAAGGCACTCTGCACCATTGAGATGAAAACAAAGGAGTCACAAAAAAGGGCTAGACTTGTGAATAAATACTCACTATGTTGTTGTGCCTGTCAGAACTTCAACAGTAACTCTCTAATGATTACCAAGAGACCAGTGTACAGAGTCAAGTGGCAACAGTGTGCAGCATAATGATGCTAATTCTATGAATATTAATGATTTTCACAGAATTTTGTTTATTTATCTATTTATGATCAATACTCATTAAATGAGCCGAGGTAACATTGGCATGTTTCTTTTTCTCTCCCTTTACAGTGTTCTGACAGAGCACGACAGACTGCATCCCCTGGAGAGGGCAGATCGATTGCCAGGTCTTTATTGACAAAATGACACGGTTCTCCCTCCCCACATACAGCCCTGTGGTGGCTGCGCACAAAAGGTAATAGAACCAGATGGGGTAACATATAAATGCCCCATGCTGCTCACCTGGGGGTGAATTTATACTCTCAAAAGGATTATTTTTTCCAATCCCTCTGCGAATAGTTTGGAGATATTAATGGGGTAATTTGTGCTGTGCATCTCCTGGGGAGCTTCATGGGAGAACTCCAGGAGGATTCATTCCTCACATTTGGAGGAACTTATGCAGCTGGACGAAAACTGGACTCATTAAATGTTGAAATTACAGCCACTAGGCTCGAGAAAAGTGGGATCCCCACATGCCTGGTGCTGGTCGCTGGTGGTGCAGGGTGGTGCTGGTGATCCAGCCCACAACCGCAGCGTGAAAAACCACATCAGTCAGAGCCGTGTTGCGTCCTCTCGTTTAGAGGTTGATAAATGCCACCCAGGAGCTGGAAGATGAAAACTTCGAGCTGTCTGGGAACATTTTGGATGGCACAGGTGACAGGGTAAACGTGGCAGAGTCATATCGCATGCTGCTCTCAGCAGAGGGTCCATGGACATGCTCATCACCACCAATTAAATGCAGCCTGCAATCACCTTGGATGGGCACAGGGCAGTGGTCTGTACAAGAGTGCTGTGTTCTGACAAATAATAATTAGCCTCAGTCTAAGAGAGCATGCGACCAAGGAGAACGGATGTAAGCAATATACAAGCACACTGATATTAATATTCAAGTGTGTTTGCATGCACTTAAAAAGCTCGATTTTGATGAATTGGCCCTGCCAATGCTGTTTTTTTAACTGAATGAGCTACACTGAAAGAAAAAAAAATTGGGTGTAGAAACCATTTTCAGTATCACATTGAATTAAACATGAAATCTTAAAGTAGAAAAACTGAAATAGTATTTTCAGTAACACTTTAGTTTAGGGACCAATTCTCACTATTAACTATTGCTTATTAGCATGCATATAACTAGCACATTAGCTTACTTTGCATGACCATATTTAAGATCCCTTAATTCGACCCCATACCTAAATTTAACAACTACCTCTCTAACTATTAATAAGCAGCAAATTATGAGTTTGAGGCAAAAGTCATAGTCATAGTTAGTTAATAGTGAGAATTGGTCCACAAACTAAAGTATGGCCATATTTTCTTGTAAAAACTCAAATAATCTTTTTTATTTACTACTTCAAAAAAATAACTTAATGTATCTGCATTATTTTATTGGCCTGTTTTAACCACCTGTTCACCCCAAAAGCACCATTCATTTACTCACATGTCGTTTCAAACGTGTTTGACTTTCTTTCTTTTGCAGAACACAAAAGAAGATACTTTGAGGAATGTTGGTATCCAAATCATTTTGGTTACCACTGACTTATAAAAACACAGAGTATCTCAAATGATCTTCTTCCATGTTCCACAAAAGAAGTCATACAGGGATGGAACAACATGAAGGGGAATAAATGACAGAATTTTTATTTTGGGGTAAACTATTCAATTCAAGTTTATTTGTATAGCGCTTTTCACGATACAAATCATTGCAAAGCAACTTTACAGCAAATTAAATTTCTACAATATTTAGTGGTAGCTTATCAGTGGTGACTGTCAGTTAATGTACATATGGCAGAAATGTACGGAAAAATCAATTAAAGTTATAGCAAAATTTGGTAGTTCTGTATGTTGTTTTAGGATTGGCATCATCTGAGGTCCTTTGAGGGGTTGCCATCATCTCTTCTCAGGTGTTCTGGATCCAGACTGAAGCTTGTGTAAATCCTTGGCAGAAACAGAGAAACAAATAGAGACATAATTACCGTATCTGCTGTTCCAACCAAGAAAAATTTATTTGTTTAACCCAAACTAAAGAATAA